AGAAAAAGCAGGGAGGAGATTTTATTGCTCTAGCCTTGTGTCATAGCAGCAGTCTGATCTCTGCTTGGTTCTTGCTCTCAGAGGCCACCAATGGGACCGTGCCACAGGGCCAGCGCCCGCCCCCACGGATTAAAAACTTCCAAATCAACAACCAGATAGTGAAGCTGAAGTACTGCTACACGTGTAAGATCTTCCGTCCACCCCGTGCCTCTCACTGCAGCATCTGCGACAACTGTGTGGGTGAGTAGAAGAGGCTGCTCCTGCACCTGGGTGCCAGGTGAGAGCCTTTGGAAGGCAGCAGGGGAAGATCTGCGCTCGGTCTCTTTCTGCGTCCCGTCTCATGGTGCACATGCTTCCAGCAGTGATGGAGGAGGTCCAGCTTGGTGTTGTCTGAACAGATGGGGACAGTCTGCCTCATCTTAAGACTGAGGAGCTCGAGATTTGCTCAGAAACCTGAAGCCAGATGGTTTGTCTTTGCCAGCATCTCTTTGGCAATAACTATTCTTATATAAGTCTAAGTTATCCATGTAAACACACAATCCATTTTTGAGTTTCACTGAACTGCTGGGCCAGAGGAAGAGCTGCAACTTATGTGAAAACAACTAATTGTACTTGCTTGGAGTCCATACTTTTCCAACAAGTACCCTTGTTTTGTCTTGTCCCCTTCCTGTTGCCACAGCAGCTCTCTTAGTCCTCATACGTGCCATAATTAGCTCATATTCCCCTTTTGAATCCATCTCCTGTGCAGCCCTTGGAACATTTATGCAGTCTCTTCAACCCTGTTGTAATGATCCCAGTAGGAGTAAAGCAACGTGTGGGTTAAATGAGAACTGCTGAACCCCCAGACCCTCAGCCAAGCTGTGTGCTGTGAAAGCCATTATACCACAGGTCTCTGGGAGAGAAGACACGCGTGGGGCTGAGCTCTTAAATTCTAGCTTAAGGTGCAAACTGGCTCAGTAGAACAGTTTCACACTCTTTTACCTGGCCTCCACTGCTCCCTCTGGAAAGGAGCACGATACAGAGCCTTGAGTTAGCAGGGAGGTCACCTTTGGCTGAGGTCACCTTGTCAGGCCGAAGATCCCTGTCAGCCGTGTCGATTTTTGAGTTCAGGGCACAGAAATAAGCACCTGCAGGCAGACAGAACTGCATCGGAGCAGCACTGATTTCCATCTTTGCTTTCACAGAGCGCTTTGACCATCACTGTCCATGGGTGGGCAACTGCGTGGGGAAGAGGAACTACCGCTATTTCTACCTCTTCATCCTCTCGCTGTCACTCCTCACCATCTACATCTTCACCTTTGACATAGTCTACGTAGCACTGAGTGAGTCTGGCTGGGCTGGCTGAGGGTGAGGGAAGATGCTGGTGATGAACCCAGAATTAACAGACTTTGAAAGGGAGCTGCACTCGGTGTGACGTCCCAGAGACCAAATACCTCTTTCTTTATATTGCCAGAATCTCTGAAGATTGGGTTCCTGAACACATTGAAGGAAACCCCAGGGACATATCCTTCCCGCAGCACAGAGGGGTTGGCTTCTCCTAAGCTGGTGGGGGAAGTGTGGGCTGCATTATAGAGGGACTGAAATCCTGATGCCTAGGCTTCTCGAAGGAGTTTTTCAGGGCATCCCCCCATTCCTCCTTGATTTACAAGGTAATGAGCAATTCTAGTGGCTTTTGGGAGGGTATAAAACAGAAAACTGAGTGAAAAAAAGTGCTTGAGTGAAAAAAAGAAACTGGACCAGTGCACCGGGGTGGTGCGACTCATCTGGGGCTCGACTGTCTGCCTGATTCCCAGTCCTTAACTGTTCTCACTGTACTGGAGGTGCTCATCTGTTTCTTTACCCTGTGGTCGGTGGTGGGGTTAACTGGGTTCCACACCTTCCTGGTGGCACTGAATCAGACAACCAACGAAGATGTAAGTAGAGTCTGTTCCTCCTGAGTCACCCCTGTTTCACTTTGCTTCCTCTACGTGTCAACCATTGCATCCACCTTGCTAAGTTGCCCTACTCATGCTGCAGCTGGACAGGTGTGGATGGAGCATACCTGAGCTTGTGTCCTGTCTGTTGCAGATCAAGGGTTCCTGGACTGGAAAGAACCGTGTGCAGAATCCCTACAGCCATGGCAACATGGTGAAGAACTGCTGTGAGGTGCTCTGTGGGCCTCTGCCCCCCAGGTACGTTCTTGAGGGACAACTTGCTGTTGCTGTTCCAGATCCTGGGACCCTGAGGAGTTCTCCTTGCTTGGGTGCAGGACCCAGCTGCCTTTCTCCACTGTATGCTGAGGGCTTCTAGAGTTCTTTGGGCTACCGCCAGATGCTCCAAGGAGGAAGGTCTTGTGTTGCCTTCTTTGCATGTTTCCAGTGATGTACTCCTAATAATTGGTTTGGGAAGCAGGGGAGGGGTGAATTCCCTCTCTCTGGGCCAGCACATGGTGAGGAGGCTGTTTCCAGGGCACTTGTTTCGGTGGACTCCCACTCTGAACTGGGCTGCTTTCCAGTGGGCTTGGTTTTCCTAGCAGAAACATAGGCACTGTAAACTAGGATGATGCTGTACATAGTCTGTTTTGGAGTCAGGGAGCCTCTTCCCTTGACTTTTGTCTTCTTCTATCAGCAGTTTTCCTGCTAGGAAGAGAAGCTGATGCAGGTGAGGTGCAGATCTCTTAACAGTGCGATTCTGTTCTTGCAGCGTCTTGGACAGACGGGGCATTTTGCAGCAAGAGGAGAATGCAGCTCAGGAGGAGACGTGCACACGGGGACCCAGTGCTCAAGAGCCCACTGCTGCTCAGGGCCCTGGTGGGCAGGCAGAAGAGAGCAGCACTCAGCAGGATGGCAGCCTTCCTCACCAGAGTGCCGTGAGTGATCCCTTCTGCATGGACTGGTGTTACTCCTGCTTGGGTGCGAGCTGCTTCTTTCTCTAGCAGAAAGAGTCCAGACTGCTCCTCCTGGAGCAATCCTGTGCTCCAGATCTTCCCGGAGCTGATGTTCTGCCTCTGTGGTGGATCCTTGCTTCCCATTTTCTGAAGCACAGCTGAGAGCTCTGCCTGGCAGGGCTGCAGGGCCACATCTCTCTGCACAGGTATGGAGGTGCCTTCCTGGAAGTCACTGCTGTTTTCTCTCTCCAGGTCCCTGTACCATCCCTGAACAACGCTGAGATGCCAGAGGAGAAGCAGCCAACAACTGGGGAGCTCCCAGCCCTATCCCAGGATGCTGGGCAAGCAGAGCACTAGCCTCTGCTTGAAAGGGAGAACTTTCTTGTATTGTCGAATCAAAGCTGGAAGTGATTGAGGAGAGGAGGAGATGGGCTGGATGGCAGGCAAATGATTCCTCACGGCCGTTTTGCTTTAGTCATTATTCATCTGGATGTGCAGGCAGTGCGGGCTGGTGCTGGCCTTGCGTGGCGGCCAAGGATAACGAGCACGAGCGGCCCACCGTGATCACTGAGGGACTCTCCCCACCACTGAGGCTGGTCTCCCTGCAGGCCGAGGCAGGAACTCTTGCTCTGCAGGTTGTCTTCAATGCTAAATACCGGCTCTGTGGTCTGAGCTGTCCCCACGTCTGGCTCTGACTGAGCGGATGACTTGTGGTCACGCAGCTTGGATGCGACGTTAGGGCCGGCCTGCGCCCTGCTGCTGAGGAATCCTGGTGGGAAGGGGAAAAGCAATTTATGGCAGTAACGTCCTCTCTCCCCTCCTCCCTCCTTCCTCTAATTCTGTGGCATTGTTTTATTGGTGAACGTGGCAGGCGTTGTCAGGAGACGTTGCGGTGCCAAAAGGGCCCAAAAAACTGGGAAGGTGTTCTGCTGGCAGTGGTTTCTCAAGTCGTTTCCTTCCTGTGTTCCCTCCTCACACGACTCAGCAGGTGTGAGAGCGGTGGTGGTGTGGGCCCTCCTTGGCATCTTTCCCTGCAGCTCATGGGCGGGGGGAAGGAGCAGAGCAGCCTTCCTGCTGCCTGTCTTGGTGTGCACCGTGTGCCCGGCCGCCTCCCGGCCTCGTGCCAGGGCTGAAGCTGCTGCTGGGTGCCTGCGCCCTTCCCTGCAGGGCTGGGTCACGCCGCTCAGCTGCTGCTCCGTGCAACCTCAGCCCCGATTCTGTGTGGTGGTGTCGTGTCCCCGTGCCCCCGCCCTGCATTTCTCAGACATCTCTGACCGGCGTTCGGAGCCGTCGCGCTGCCCTACTGCACGAGGAAGTAGGAGAGGTGGTGAAGGCCCTGATGCTCATTTCCAATCGTAGCTCTCTCTCTCTGGGGCCCTGCAGAGGCTGAAGCTGGAGGGAGGGTGTCTTTGTGTCCCAGCAGCTTGGCTCCGTGCTGCAGTCCCCCCTCATCCCGTCCTCCCGCATCGTGCTGCTTCCAGCAGTGATGTGAGATGGAGAGGAGGGCAGCCTGGTCCCTGCAGCTGCCTGGAAGGAGCTCTGAGTCCTTCCCTGCATATCTGGAGCGACCCCACTGCCCTTACACACCTCTCCTGCCTGCACCAATGCTCTTACTGGGCAAATCTCATTGCAAAAAAAAAAAAAAAAAAAAAAAAAAAGGTGTATTTTGGGGGGTGTGCTGATCTATTTTCTAACTCAGTGTGTCAAGTGCTGCCTGCTAGGCTGTCACGGATGCTGCCTGCACCTGTGGTTCCTGTCTGCTCTGTTCAGGTTCTTGTGAAGGAAGTGGGGGTAGGGTCAGGGTTGTTTTTTCTTCTTCTTCTTCTTCTTTTTTTTTTAAACAACAAAGGAAACTTAATTGCTTTGGAAAATGGCTGAGCTGTAGCCTCTGCCTCTGTTTGTCTGTGCTTCACCCAGCGAGCTGCTTCCTTCCTCCTCCCCTCGTGCACCTCACACATCCATGCAGTGCTGGAGCCAGCCCTTGTCTTACCTGTGTCCTGCTGTTCCCCCGAACGTGGCCACCAGTGCAGCAGGAGCTGGTCCTGGGAAGATAAATTGCCTGCAGCCTCACTGAACAGGCACTGCTCGGTCCCCATCTCTCTCCCCAAGCTTTTAGGGTAGGTAGGAAGCAGGCTGAAGACCAGAGCACGCATTTATTGGGATCAAGCGTAAAGGAACAAACTTGAGGCTCAGAGATCCACCACAGTGGTCCCACAGTGTGGGAGCTGGAGGTGACTGAACGCAGCTGTGAGGGCCTGAGCTGTCTGAATGCTGCAGTCCCCCACAACCCCAGGGTTTGGTTACAGGTGATACACACTCCTCATCAGCTCATTGCCCCGGTGGTGCTGCAGCTCCTCCACCCCTTTGCAGGGATGCCTGGAGCAGCTGATGCTGGGAGGGACCAGCCTGTCGCATCCTGCAGGGCTGTGGGAAGTGTGGGGACCTGCGTGGGGTCACCTTCAGGCAGCACAGTGCTCAGCCCCCTTCCTCACAGCCCCTCTGGAACATGGGCTGCCTCCTGGTACCCTGCTGGGCTGCTCACAGGGCTCGGCTGAACCTCCTGCACACCTTCCTCCATCTGCTTTGGCTGTGTGAGGATGGTGGTTGGGGAAAGCCAAGTCCTGCTGGTAGAGATGTTGCCTCGATGCCTCTGCTTGCTTGCTTGATTTGCTCAGTGCTGTGCTTGCTCTGTCCATGCTATCCCTGTCCTTACAGGCTCTTTTGCACTGCCGTTTATTTGGCCTGGCAGATGTGAGCTCCCAGAGGAGCTCTTGAAGCTGTGGATGAAATGGGGCAGCCCACCCCTGGCAAACAGACCTGCAGCATCTCTGGCACTCTCCCGCAGTGCCTGGAGCACCTGCAGCGTGGGATGGTGGCGTGAGGCAGCACAGAACGTCCTGGAGCAGCACACCTGGGGGATCGCCCCACCTACAGCACAGAGTCCTGCAGTGTGCCTTCATCCCTGGGGCTCACCCACACCCCACCGAGTTCTCCCCTCTGTCCACTGCCACACCAGAGCCTGTAAAGCACGGCGGGGGCTCAGGAGGACTCCGCCAGGGACACAGCCTGCAGCTGCCCCTCAGGGCTCGGCAGCTCGGCCTCCTCACGGCTGCTATCCAGGGTCTCGGATCCCTCGAAGCAGCCCGAGTCCCGGGGAATGTCCCCCTTGGGCTCCGAGGGCGAATGCTGCTCAGTGGTGCCGTCCCCTTCCTCCGCATCACTGCTTGCTGCTGGGGGACAGGACAAAACATCAAGCCATCAGCTTGCTCCTCGCCACCAAGGCTAGAGCCAGCGTGGGACATCCCTGCCCAGCCCTTACTGTCATAATCCAGGAGGAGCTCAGCAGCTGTGAGCAGCTTGGCGCGGTGCTGGGGGTCGGTGATGTTCAGCTCGTTGAGGTGGGTCTCCCTCAGCTCCTTGAAGTCCTCCAGAGTCTGGTAGCCGTTCAGCAGCAGGGTGGAGGTGTGCTCCTGGAGCAGGGAGCAGCACGATGGAGAACCCAGCCCTGCTTCAGCCTCATGCATCCCCTCTGTCCTCAGCCACGCTCAGGCACGAAGCAGAGGGACCCAGAGGATGGGAGAGCGCGGGAGCAGAACGGAGGCTCCTCTTTTCCTTCCTATGGTGCTCCGATTCTTATCCCATTCCATCCCTACTGCTCTCTTGGGCTACCCATGTGATCCCCTACCGTCCCCTATGGGCTGGGCGGGCTCTGTCCCTGCCCCACTGCAGTCCCTGTCCCCCCCCAGCCCTCACCTGCAGGTTGATGCGCTCCAGCAGCTCATGGAGGGTCTTGGGCTTGAGCCGCTTGCTCTTGGCCTGGCCTCGGCTCTTGCGGGTGGGGGCTGCCTCCTCAGGGATGACATCCACGTAGATGAACTTGAAGGAGCCCACTTTGTTGTTAAGCAGCCCCGTCCAGGTGCCCACGGGTGGCTTTTCGATGATGCCGATGATATCCCCTTTCTGATCCAAGGAATCACAGCATCATTGGGGTTGGAAAAGCCCTCTCAGATCCCCAGCCCACCCCACCGTGCCCATCACTGCGTCCCTCAGTCCCACATCCCCACAATCTGGAGCACACCAGTGATGGTGACCCCACCGCAGCTTCGGCAGCGTGACATCCAACCTGAGCCCCCCACCACCGTGCCCACCTCCCTTCAGACATCCCCAGACACCCCCTGGCCCTCACCCGCAGCTTCAGAGAGTCCTTGTCGTAAGGGCTGGGTGTGAAGTCGGTGTGTACGCGGGCTCTGCCGCAGAAGGGCCCGGTGTAGGCTGGGCTGCTGTCCTCCAAGTGCGGGCTGTCCTGGCTGGTGGAGCCGGGGCTGAGCCCCTCACTGCCTGCACGGGGATGGGAGGGCTCAGCATTGGTGCCGATCTCGGGGCCACACTTGGGGCCTGTGCTGTGCTCACCGCTGGACAGCTGGCGGCTGACAGACGGGTGCGCGTCCTCCTCCATCTCCACGTAGGACAGCGGCATCTTCTCGTGGCTCGGCTCCTCTGCGCCAGCTGAGGGCAGGGGAGATGGACACCCCTCTTCCTCCACCTCCGCCTGCTGTGGGGAGCGGGCTTGGTGCTGGGAAGTGGGGACGGCTGACCCGCAGCCCCAGGTCCCGCTCTCACCTTCCCTTCAGCCAGCGCCCGCACGGCCACGCGGCCCATCTTGCGGTTCATGGTGCGGGAGATGATGGCCCGCCACTTCTTGCCCAGCTTCATCCCACCGCTGCTGCCCTGAGCCGCCTCTTCAGGGCCTGCACCGCTGGGCTCATCCTCAGGGATCTGTGGGGAGACAGAGAGGGGAGGGCACGGGGGGCTCCCAAGGCTCCAGACTGGGGCAATACCTGGCCCCTGGGTGCCCCATGGCACGTGGGACTTGGAGAAGGGCTGCGGGTGGGGACAGACGCTTACATTCTCCTCCAGGTTGAACTCCTTCTCGCTTGTCACCGGGGAGCTGACTTTGGATTTGGCAAAGTCCTTGAAGCTGCTGGAACGCTGCAGGGAGAGCTGGGGGCGTGGGGAGGGGGTGAGGGCTCTTTGTGTTGCCGGGAGAGGCTCTCTGCTCACCCCCAGCGTGGCAGCGTTGCCCTCAACCATGGCATTGCAACTTCCCCACCCGGTTCTTCTTTTTGCCAGCTCCACTAGGCACCCATTTTATTTTCTCTCTGCTCCTGCACTGTGAGCTCTCAGTGTCTCCTCCTCATCCCTGTGTGACAGCAGCTCCCGGCACTGCAGTTGGCACCACGGCCTCACTGCACAGCCGGCCCCACGCTGGGGAGGAGCCGGTGTTGCAACAGCACTGGCACAGCGTTGGCAAACCGCGAGCTCGGGGCCGGGGGGGGTAAATGGGGGGGGCCCTGCCCTGTGCTGCACCCTCAGCAGCATTGCAGCCAAGGAGCGAGAGGGAAGTGAGAGCAGTGGGGATGCCCAGCGGGGCTCTGCAGGGCAGCCCTGCTCCGTCGGATGCTGCGCAGCCATTCGCGCAGCAGCCTGGAGCTTCTCAGCGCAGTGACCCCACTCCGCTCTGCCGGGGAGCGCCCTGCAACGGAGACTAACAAAGAGCAACGGTGCTGCTGCTGCTGCTGCTGCTGCTGCAGGCCCTGCCCGCAGGCGGAGGGCTCCGTGCCGGTGCAGAGCTGCCGGAGGAAGCGGCGGATGCACGTGATGGGGCTGCAACCTCGCGCTGCCTCGACCGCAGACACCTTGCTGGGAGCCGTGCCCGGCAGCCCCGCCATCCCCCCGGCAGGAAACGGCAGCGGCCGCCCACATTGCAGAGAACGGCGAAGAGGGGGAGCTGCTGCTGCTTCCCCGGCACGACCCCACGGGTGCCCGCAGTCGTTTAGGGGTCTGAGCATCCCCAGCCCCACATCACAGCTGCGCCCCGAGGATGCAGCCCTGCTGCCGCCCCGCGTTGTGCGGGCGCTGGGTGGCGGCGGCTGCACGTTCAGCTCCCAGCCCGAGCCGCGCGTTCGCGGGGCTGCGTGTCGTTGGCGGCTGCTGGCAGTGCCACCTCTGCCCCACTCCATCCCATCCTCCCGGACGCGCAGACGGCATCACCCGGTGCTCTCAGCCCTCAGTCCCATCGGTGAAGGAAGGCCATCCCCGGGCCGGTCCCGGTGCTCACCTTCCTGTGGCCCGGCTCCTTCTCGCCGGCATTGGAGGGCTTTCGGCGCAGCATGGTGCTGGGTGCCGGAGCACGGAGCAGCGCCTGGCGGGGCACGGACCGAAGCGTCGGCACCGCAGCTGGGAAGCGCACAGGAAGCCGGCGGTCACATGAGAGCTCCGAGCCGCTCAGCTTCGGGGCGCGCAGCCTGGGCCGGGAGGAAGGAAGCTCTCCTCGAAGCGGCCGCCCTGCCCAGCGCCCCGGAGCGGCGCCGTTTTCACACCCTCGCACCCATCCCCACCACTTCTGTTGGGCTCCGCGCGTCCCCGAGCAGAGGGCGAGGTTCCCACCGTGCCCATCACGTCCCATTGCCAGCCCCTGCGTGGGGCACAGGGTTGGGTCACGCTCAGACAGCCCCAGCGCACTGATGCACACACCCAGCATTGACGCCGTTTAAGTGCAAAGAACAAAGATTAAAAGAAAAAAAAGGACATAACGAGGAAGTGAGCAACAGGGAGAAGAAACGTCCCTGGTTGTTGGTGGCAGGATCAGGCCTGCAGCTTGGCCAGCAGCACGGAGATGAGGGAGGTGATGGCCAGCATGGCGGTGGTGGTGGAGGCAGCGCTGCTCAGTGGGAAGGGCTCAGTGTTTCGCTGCAGCCAGCTGTACTCCTCCTCCAGCTGCTGCCGCTGCAGCTCCGGCCCCACACGTGCACGGATGGTCTCATAGTAGGCGTTCAGGTACTGGATCTGCAGGCAGACACATCTCCATCTCAGTGTCCGTCCCCACCCCAGCCCCGTGCGCCCACCTCAGCTCTGCCTGTCCCGGTTCCCGTACGTGCTCCTGTGACAGGAGGCTGACGTCGATGAGGTTGCGGTCGTAGGGCACCAGGGACACCACCTCAAAGGTCAGGAAGGGCTTCTCCCCTGTAAGGTGCTGCCGGGGAAGGTCAGAAAGTGGCTGCAGCCCCCGTGGCACTGCCAGCCTCTCGCCGTGCCCGAGCCCCCCAGCCCCATGCAGAATCCTGGAAGGGGTACAGCAGTACCTTGGTCTGTGCCTCCACCACCAGCACGATGTCCTCGATGCGGATGCCGAACTCACCGTCCTGGTAGTAGCCGGGCTCTGGGGACAGTGCCCAGCACATCCTGAGCCCCGGCAGCACCTCCACCCCATCCCACCCCTGGGCAGAAAGCTGTGGACCCTTAGCACTGCCCCACAACCATCCCCACAACCCCAAGGCGGCAGGAGCCGGCTGGACGCACGCACCGATGGATGTGAACATGCCTGCAGTCAGCGGCACGTTGTTGGACTGGAAGCCCACCGGCCCTGTGAGGGACACAGGGTGGGTTTTGGCTCACTGGGACACTGCGTGCCCCCTCCCTCCTATCCCATCCCACCCCCAGTGCTCACACTCGTGCACCGAGAGGAAGTTGCCGATGCCGTGCCCGGTTCCATGGCCATAGTTGAGCCCCACTTCCCAGAGCGCCCGGCGGGCAAAGGTCTCCACTGTTCTCCCTGGAGGATGAGGAGGTGGAACAGAGCTGGGAGCAGCAATGGGACCCCTGCCCTGCTCCCACCACACCGAGCTGCACACCCACCAGCTGTGTCAGATGGGAAGATGAGGCGGGAGAGGTCAATATTGCCCATCAGCACACGGGTGTAGGCTTCCTAGAAGGGAATCAGGGGCTGAGCGCGATGCTGTGTGGGGCATCCTCCTGCCCCACGGCACTGGGACCATCCCACAGCGCCAGCACCTTCTGCAGCGAGGTCGGCGTGCCCCAGTGCACGGTGCGTGTGATGTCCGTGGTGCCATCCCTGCAAAGGGGGATGCGAGTGGGTCCCCATCACCCCACAGCTCTGCGGGTACAGAGGGGACAGGGAGCTCTACGCACAGATACTGCCCGCCGGTGTCCGCCAGGTACATCTCATCCACTGACAGCTGCCGGCTGCTGCCGTTGGCTGGGCTGGGGAAAAGGGAGAGGTGAGAACCCATCCGAAGAGTCCCCACACAGCGCATCTCCCTCCCCATCCCCACACCTGTAGTGTGCCAGCGCCGCGTTGAGCCCGCTGGCAGAGATGGACTCAAAGCTGGGCCCGCGGCTGTGCTGCTGTGCCCTGGAAGGCAGCGGAAGGGGGACGTGGCGGGGGGGTCCCTGCTGCCCCATGCCGGCTGCTCCCCCAGGTAGGCACCGACCAGCGGAGGGCATCGATGCGGCGGGCACCCGAAAACTCATCCACCAGCCCTTGCGGCACCATCTTCTCCAGCCACAGCAGGTATTGGATGACAGCCACCGCATCCCGAACCTGTGGGCAGCTCCGTGGTACCGAGAGGTGTCACCATCCCCCCCCGAGCAGCTGGCTGAAGGGATGGGCACAGCCTTACGTGGGCTGCTCGCAGCAGTTCCTGCTCCTTGGCGTTCTTCACAGCCTTGGCGTGCATCACCGGAGAGTAGCTGTCCTCCAGCAGCTTCTCCTGCACACGTGACAACGGTGGGACACAGCCAACCCATCCCCTGCCCCCAGCCCCACCGGCAGGATTTCGTGGTGAACCTCACCTGGGGGATGATGCTGTAGAGGCCGTAGGTGGTGTATTCAGTGCCCAGCCAGATGGTGACATTGCCCTGAGCGTAGTGATGGAGGTGGGCGCTCACCTGCCCGTAGTCCCACAGCTCCACGCAGAGCGGCCCCGGGCAGCCGGAGCGTAACGACTGCTGAGCCTCCGCTGTCAGCCGTGCAGAGTCCACAAACAGGCTGGGAAAGGGGCATGGTGATGGGGGGGAGGGGGTGGGGGGGGTGGGGGGGGAACCGCTGGGTTTTACTGGGAGGGGTGAGATCGATTCTGGGAAAGATGTAGGACTTGGAGGCGGGATGAGATGGGGTGGGCGCTGCAGGATGCGAGGAGCGTGTGGGGAACGGGTGGAGGGGGGGAAATCTAATGGGATAAAGGAGGAGGGTTGGGGTGAGACCCACAGCAGCCACTGCCCACCTGATGTTGGTGGTGGTCAGGAGGGTGTAGGAGTAGAAGACTGGGTTGTAGGGGATGTCGTCACCACGGAGGTTGAAGAGCCCTGCCAGGGGTGAGACATCAGAGCTGTGCCCACCCCGATGCCCCTGGGGCAGTGCCACAACCTTGGTGCTCTACTCACAGGCCGTCTCCTCCAGCCCTGAGAGCAGCAGAGCTGTGGGACTCCGCGTGTGCTCCTCCATCTGCTGCCGGATCCCAGCCACCTTCTCCTGCCAGCTGCTCCCTGGGGTGAGGGGGGGGGGGGCTCAGTGCACGGCCCTCCTCTGAGCGAGCAGAGATGGGTGAGAGGCGTACCTGTGAACTCCTCTGGGAGGCTGTAGATGTTGCTGGAAGGTAAAGGGGGTCTCTGGCTGCCCCACACTTGGTCCACAAGGTTGGTCTCCATGGGCAGCAGGGTGATGCTGGAGCCCTGCAGGGCCTCCTGGTAGCTCTTCCATGTGTCTGCAGGGAGAATGGCCCACGGGGCTGCATCATCCAGCGACCACCCTATGAGGAAGCATCCCCTCGGTGCCAGCCCACCGTACCGATGGAGAAGAGGAAGGGGTCCAGGCTGACGTTCCCCCCTGCAGGAACCAACTCCATGATCCACGTCCCGATGGACTCAATCCACGCTGCAAGGCAGAGCAGTGTGTGTGGGGGGGTTCTGGCAGTGGGCAGCCCCTCACCCCCACCTCCCTGCACTGACTGGTCCTCTGCAGCTCCCAGTTGCAGTCCAGCTGCCTCTCTGCCTGCGTCCAGTAGCGGCTGTCGGTCCACAGGGCTGCTCTGTCCTCCGTCACCACGCCGGTGCCTGGGGGGCAGCAGGTCTCAGGCATCGTTTCTCCCCCAGTCCCACTCCCCAGCAGCCCACGTCCCCCCAGGGCTGGGCACAGAGCCCAGCAGAGATGCTCCCACCTGCAGAGCCGGTGAAACCGGTGAGCCAGCCCAGGCGGGCGTCCCTGTCTGCAATGTACTCGCTCTGAGGATGGGATGGAGAGGTGAGAGGAGATCCGAGAGCCGGCACGGCGTGTGTGGGGATGGCACCTCACCATGTGGGCATCCGTGGAGGGCACGACGTAGGCGTGGATGTTATGGGCACGCATGGCGTCCCGCAGAGCGCTGAGCTGTGCCGAGCTGTTGGTGGCCGTGGGAGGCAGGTACTGGTGGCACAAAGGAACAGGCAGGAGTGGGGCTGGGCAGGGGGCCGCCGAAGCACCCCAGGGTGGGCGCGGGCTGTGGGCGAGGGGCTCACCGGGGGGTCCACGGAGCAGTCCCTGATGTCGGTCCTGGGGGAGGTGGCGAGCTGCGAGCGTCCCACGGAGCAACCTGAGGGGTTCTGAGCCTCAGCGGGAGCTCGGGCTCCTGCTCAGCCCCCGCCCGGCCCGCAGCGATGCGTGCCTCGTACCCTGCAGCAGGAGCAGCCAGGCTGCTGTCCAGCGGGAGGGCGGCATGGCTGTCCCCGCGCTGCGGGACGCGGAGGGGACGTTTGGTGCCGTGGAGCGAGCGACCGGTCCCTCCTCCTGCGCCTTTGCCCCTTGGGCGGAGGGATGCCGAGGCCCCGGGCAGAGACCGGGGGTCGTTGTCCTCTTCACAGAGCGCTTCTGCTCTCTAGATAACCAGATAAGAGCAAACAGCTCAATCAGCACCGAGTCCAAAGGTCTCCCGGAAGCAGAGGTGCGGCTGTGCCATCTCAGCCTGGCACGTCCCTGCTGGCCACGGGCGAACCAGGGGGGGCTGCACTGCCACAAAACCACCTGCCAGGGGGAGAGTGATGGCACGCACGGCCGCTCACGGCTGCATCCCGCTCAGCCCGCCCGTGCCGTCGGCCTGGAGGGAAGTGACATTGAGCAGCACGGGGTGAGGGTACGGTGCTGCCGTCCTCCGGCCCCGCTATGGAGAAGGGCAGAGCTCGGCTCCCCAGATCACATCCAGCGAAAGGACGAATCCTGCCGCGCCGGTGGGGCGCGATGTCCTCCCGCTATGGGGACACCCCTGCGGGACGGGCTCTGCGCAGCGCGGCTGCGGGGGGTGATGGGGATCTTCGGGTGGGGATGCGGCTCCAACCGGGGTCGAAGAACGGCGGGATGCCGGGTGGGTCCTACAGGAAATGAACAACGAACCGCTTTATGAGCAGCCCGCCCCGCCGATGCACCGTCCCGCGGTGTCAGTGCGAAGCTGTCGGCCACGAGATGGCACCACGACCGCACCGCAGGTCCCGGCCGTGTCCCCGCGCTGCGCGGAGGCGAGGCGACAGCGGGACCCGGAGGCATCACCGCCATCCTGCCCCTGTGAACGGCACCGAGCCGAGGCCGGGCATGTGCATGTCACCGATGCTCCCGGCCAGGCCGCTGTCACCCCGGAGACCCTCTGTTGGTCCTCCCGTGTGGTTGGGCTGTGCGGGAGCCCCTGCACGGGGCTGGGTGGGGGCACACGGTGACCACGAGGTCCCTGCGATCATCACAGCAACCGAAGTTTCTCAAGGATGCGCCATGCGGTTGCCACGGTGACCATCAGGCATCGCTTCGCTTCCGTCCTGCTAATTAACAAAACGTGCTAACGATGCTGCACATCCTCCTCCTCCTCTTCCTCCAGCCATCCCCAGGGACCCCAACCTGCTCACCGGGGGCTGCTCTGAGCTCTAGAGCGGCCTCGACCGGACGAAGCCCATCCACTGTGCGTCCGGTGGGGCCCGGCCCTCCCCCCCCGGGAGCTTTCCTCGACGACGGGCCCAGAGGAAGGCTTGGGGGAGACATCCTCCCTTTGTGGGCTATTGTTAGCCTTCCGCCACCTGCAGGGCTGTGGGGTGACTCAGGCCGGGGTGATGCGCCCGAGCAAACAGGACGTGGGGTGGGAGGGAGGGAGGGAGGGAACCCCTGGGACCCCAGGAATGCGGAAGGTGGTGTAGGAGCATTGGGGTCCAGGTTAAATCCCCTGTGAAGGGGGCTGGGGATCCATCGGCGATGCAGAGCGCTGCGGGAGGGCACAGGGCACCCACCTCCAGCTGAACCCACAGCAGCTCTGGAGCACTGCAGCTCTGTTGGGATGCAAAGCTGTTGCTTTACCTCTATCTGCCAGCAAAATCCCATCTGTGTCCAGCTGCACATCGGTGGTCACCACACCAGTGATGGTGTAGAGGTGGTTTCGGGAGGCCCTGTGCAGGCATCTCGCACCTCCACAGCCCTCACTTGCATGGAGCACCTGAAGCTGGAAAGATCCCACTGCAGGACACCCCAAGCAGCATGCCAGGAGCTCACCCTGATGGAGCTCACCTCCAAGGACAGACACCCAGCGTCCCCTCTGTGTGCCGTGCCCCGCACTGCTCTGCCCCACATACAGCAAATGAATGCTTCCTGCTGGCAGGGGAGCCTTTGGTGCTGCTGTCTGTGCCCTCTGCCATGTTCTAGGGGCTGCCTACAGCCCCCCCCAGCAAAGCATTTCCACCTTACCTCTGATGCAAAATCCCCCTTTCAGCTGAACCTCCCACCCACCAGCTCCCAGGGCTCCTCTCCAGGAACTTTTCTTTCTCCTCTTTACCCACCTCTGTGTTTGACCTGACACAGGTGCAGCCCATTGGTCTCATTAAAATCTCATGAGATTCACAAGGGCCCACATGAGGCCCCCAGGCCCCCTTGGATGGCATCCATCTCCTCCAGTTCCTCCACTGCACCACTCAGCTGTGTGACATCTGCAGCGCTGCTGAGGGTGTGCTCAGCCTCCTGTCCTTGTCACAGAGCTGTTAAATCACTCTGGTCCCCCCCGAGAGCCCTGGACACCACTGGTTGCTGCTCCTCACTTGCACACAGAGTTGTGGAGCTCTCTGGGTGCAACCCAATCAAGTCCTTATGCACTGAGCAGTTCTCCATCTGCCACATCCACGTCTCTGTCGTGCAGAGGCAGCAGGACATCCCCAAAGCTCTGGGTGAGCCGCATCAGTCTGTGCCCACCAGCACCGTGAGCACTGGGGATCAGCAGCTCCTGTCCTTCCCCCATCACCTCTGGGCTCTCTGAGCACCTCGTACAGCTTCTAGGAGGATCTGCTCCGTGAGCAGCACACCGGGCACAGCAGTGACACCGCCCGGCCTGCAGCTTCCTGGCTCTTCCTTTTTCTTTCCCCCCTTTCTCCACTTTTTCAGACAGCGCGACCCCGTCGGGCCGCCACGACTCCTCACTCAGTGGTTTGGCACCGTCACCCCCAGCTCCCCCCGGCTTCCACCCCCGGCCGCACTGCGGGCTGATGCGGGGGGCGTGGGGGGGGGGAGGGTGGGCTCAGAGCTCTTTGCCGACCTCACTCATTCTGAAGTCCCTCCCTTTGCTCCCCGGAGGATCGCGGGGCCGACCCTCCCCCCGAGCATCCTCGGCGCCCCCCGCGTCCCTTCGGATGCCACCCCCTGGGCACCCCGGGGGGCTGCAGCGCTGAGAGGGCGGAGCGGGGCGGGGCGAGCTGCGGACCCCCCTCCCCCTTACCGGCGGCCACATGACCGGGCGGGAGCGGGGCCGGGCCGGGCTCTCACCGCCTACAAATGCGGCGATCCCGGAGCGGGGCCACCGCCTCCTGCGTGTCCGTGTCCTCGCGTGTCTGTGTCCCCGCGCAGGGCGGAGCATGGCGGCGCGCCGCTGGCTGCTGGCGCTGCTGCTGCTCTTCTGCCTCGCGCTGAGCGCCGCGTCCGCGGGTGAGTGCGGGGCTGAGAGCCGTGCGGGGTCGGGGAGGGCGGGGGGAGGCAGAGCCGTCGATCCCCGGGAGTGTGTGGGGGGGGAGAGGACAAAGCGCTTTTCACGGTGGCAACAAACCGCGGACTGTCCCGAAGGCAGGGAGGCCGAACGACGGCCGGGAGCCGCCTGTGCCACCGGGTGCCGGGGGGCGGCCGCGCCGTCTCTGGTGCCATCCACGTGCTGGAGGTACCGGAGCATCTCCGCCGTCACCCCGAGCTGGGTGGCTCCGGGGTGGGGGGCTGAGATCGAAGCCCGATCGGGGCTTTGCCGTGCCCTGTGGTGACTGCGGTGGCACCGTGCAGGTGACCCGGCCATCTGGCTGCAGGAAGCGCTCGCTCTCTGGGGCGCGTGACTCCTGCCGGGAGGGTGATTGAGGAGATGCTGCCCAGCTCCTGGAGCATCCCCACCCCACGGGTGGGCAGGGCATCCGCTCACGCTGCTCTGCCATCCCCAGGGCCGCTGGGAGCGGGGCTGGACGGGATGGATCCCGAGGACGGCCTCATCCGAACGCTGGTGCGGCCACGGGGTGCGCGGCGTGGGAACGTGCGGAGGCCAGGAGGGTGGAGGCGGCTCCGCCGTCCCCGGCCACGGCTGTCCCATAAGGGCCCCATGCCCTTCTGATGGAGGTGAGTGACGTGGAGGGGACACGCGTGGCGCTGCCCACAGCTCGCTCATCCTGACGGCCTTTGCTCTCCTTGCAGGACCGCCGCCAGCGCTCCAAGGATGCATCCCCACTGCCTGCTCTGCTCGTCCCTGAGCCGGCATCGCCTCCCTGCAGCTGTCCCTGGTGGCTCTGGCACCGTGTTCTCCCAGTGCCCCGTGCCCCAATCCCGGTGTGCCGGCTCCGGGGGCTCTGCGTAAAGCACTTTGTCTGGCGGAGGAGCTCTCCGTGGGGCCCTGCCCCATCCCCTCCCGGAGGGGTCTATTTATTCCTGTGATGCTGACCCCGTGTGAGCTGCCCTGTGGGGTTCCCACCCCCCTGGGGCTCTGCAGGAAGCACTGATGTACCCCAAAAGGGCCGCAGCGGTGCCGGGCCCTGCTGGTCACCGCGTCTGTCACGTCTGTAAAGAATTGTTCTGTGTAAATACATCTTTATTATAAAGAGCTATGATGACAGTAAGCGCTTTGTGGTGATGGTGTGGTGGGAGACTGAATGAAGGGCTGGGGGACGTTCTGCAGCCTGTGGGGCTGGGGTGCTCTGTGGCCTGAGTAGGGACGCATCCCATCACTGCTCCCATGGTGCTGATTTTGGTATCGGTGCTGTGACAGCAGCCGGGCTGGGGTCTCATGCATCTCTTTAGCCAGAAGTGGTTTGTAACTCAGGGTGTGAGCACCACGATGCTGATGTTGCCGTGGTTACCGGCTACTGGGTGCAGCACCCGTGTCTGGGGTTGGGCTGCCTGGTCCTGGGCACTTCTGGTTGCTGCCATCCTCTGGTGGTTGCTGGACACCCAGCCTGCCTCAGCCCTGCACCGCGTGCTCCAGGTCCTTTCGTTTCCCTTTCTGCTGTCCCTATTCCCAGAGTCTGCGCTCCTGGTGTCCTCCTCCCTGCCATCTCTATTCTTGGTGTCCCTATTCCTGGTGTCCCTGTCTCTGGTATCCACGTCCCTGTGATCCTATTGCTGATGTCCCTGACAGCCCTGCCCTTGCCGTTCCAGTTCCCAGTGTCCCCGTCGCCGTGGGTCCTGGTAGGCAAGCAGCTGCAGGCACCTCTCCCTGGTGTCCCTCCAGGCCCACGCAGGAAGGTGGCAGCTTGGGGCTCAGCAAGCAAATCTTACACTTGGATGGGGGCTGAGCTGTGCAAAGGGACGGGACCACCCCAGAAACCCCCAAGCCAGGGCAGTGCAGTGCATGCGGGGCTCCCAAGGCCTCCATCCCCTGCAGGAGGGGTGCCGGGCTGCCCCGGGAGAGCGAGGAGGGCACGGTGGTGGGGGTCCCACAGGCAACACAGGGCTGCAGCACTGGAGGGGAGGGGTTAATGGGGCCGTGGAAGAACGGAAAGTCTGCAGCTGCGGGGCTGCAAGCAGGGGCCTGGGGGAAGCGGGGCTGGGCCCAGCTGGCCTCCATGAGCTCATCCTCGGGGACCGGGAGGGATGCACTCCCGGCCACGTGCCAGCATGATCCTGACACGCCGCATGCCTGCGCCCGCCCTGCAGAGACGCGGCTGGGTTCTTCCCTTCCGCAGGGTTTGAAGGCTGCAGCGCCGCTGGGTACCTCAGTACGGGGGTTAGGATGCGCTGCCCCCACCCAGCGGCCTCGTGGCTGCCCTGGAAGGGGGAGGCCGGGGAGGTCCCCCCGGTTGGGCTGTGGCCAGCGGTGCTGGAGGAAAAGGCTCCTGGGCCAGGAGACCGAAGGAATCTCTGGCTTTTCCTGGCCTGGCTGGCTGCCCGCGGGCAGGTGGGGGCTGCCGGGCTGCACTGCTCTCCCCGTGCTGTGCGCCGTGCCAACGCTGTGCCGTGCCAGCCTCACCTGCTGCAGGAGGGCTGAGAGGGTGGGTGCACGAGGGTGGCACCTGAGTGCCTGGCTGTGTGTGGGGTCCTGTCAGCACAGTGACAACTGGGTGCCAGAGAGCCCAACAGGGACACGCGGATGCCACCAACCGCGCTGCTCCCACTGCACAGACATCACCGCTAGGAGCACGGGCTGTACTCAATCCCCAAACACTTTGCAGGGCTCAGAGCTGCTGCCAGCTCCCAAGGAGCCACACAGCCTCGAGGACACGCAGGCCAGGCCTCGTTCTGTCCCTGGGGATCCACGGAGCTTCGCGCCCTCTCCGGCATTTCCGCCGGCAGTGGCAGGAATGCGGCGGCCGTAGGAACAATGCGGCACCTTGCGCCCATCCTCTCCGTGACGAGGTCAGGAGCAGCTGCCCAGGCGCAGCCCCGCGCTCAAGGAGCAGGCAGGATGCAGATGGAGATGACACCGGTCGCAGTTTCCTGCGGCAGGATGAGGCCAGCTTTCTCCAGCTCTGCTCCAGATGCTGAGCCAGGAGCGCTGGGGGCTCGGTGCTGTGCGTAGCAGAGCTGTGCCCGCTCCCCAGCACCTGACGTGGCCATGGCTGGTAGCAGCACTTCACAGCTCTGTGCCACGGGATGCTGCAGCCCCTGTGATGGGACGGGCAGCAAGGCTTGGTCTGAGCCCCAGCCTGGCCAAAGCACTGCTCGCACAACTGAGGTTTATTTGGAACAGACAGATTTCCAATAAATTATGTAATTTAAAAATTAAAAACAAAAACAAAAAAACTACAATAAGAGCCTCAAGGTCCTGGATCCTTGGCTGCAGGGGAACACAGGCAGTGGGATGTGGTTGGGTTCGTGGGTCTCAGGCTGGACATTGGCACCCGCAACTCCCAGTGCAGGCAGGGCTCAGCGTAGTGTTTGAGCAGGGTCAGGCTCCCCCCTTTCCAGCCCCCCAGCACCAGAGGCCCCCAGCTCCTTTCCTCCTACACTTGAGGCTCATTATCACCCCTCACCCTCTCCCCATCAGGACAGACAGGAAGGCACCCAACATTGCCCGCACCCCCAGCTTCCTCAGGCAGGGTCAGGGTCCAGGAGTTGGGTCCTGCTCCGTGCCATGCCTCAGAGAAACCATGTGCAGCCCACAGTGCTGCTTGATGCAGGCTCCTCCACCCGGCCACCAGCACCACTGGCTCAGAAGGAAGCCAGGGCACAAGGGAACGGAGAGGGGAGAGCAGGCAGCGCTCTGGTGCCAGAAACCCAGGGGCCACAGCAGGGGCCAGGAATGACAAAGCCTTACCCACAGACAGGGAAGCAGGAAAGAGGATACTGCACTAATGGAGGGAAGGGAGGAGGCCACGCGCCCAGATAACCCTCCTGGCACAGTCCTTTCATAGCACAGTGACGGTGTGTTGGGTTGAGTCTGCTGCATGGCTGAGGGTGGCACGTGCCCAACACCTGTAACAGCACAGAGCTCCCACCAGCACCGCAGGGACAACAGCACCAGCAGTCTCCACTCTTCCCTGCAACGACTCCAGGGGGTGACAAGGAGAGAGAAGCGCGGTGCAGGGAACTGGTGACACTAAGGAACGGCTGCTGGCAGCGTGCTCAGCTCTCAGCAGATCCAGCCGGATCCGGGGGAGAAAGCAGGAAGCTCCCGTCGTGGATGGCAGTGCAATGAGTGCGCAGGTCCTCTGCAGTGTGGGGTACAGCAGCGGGAAGGAGGGCACAACGCTTCCCTCGCAACTGTAAACACGGCACTTGGAGTAGCTTAGAGCCTTCTGCCCTTCAGGAGCCACCAGCGACACAGGGCCCAGTTTGGCAAGAGGCAGGAGTCACTCCTCATCCCCGGCAAGCAAGAAACCATAAAGGAAATTGATGGCACGCTGGCGGTCCTGCTGGGTCTGCTTGGTCATCAGATTGGGGGGAGGCCGCAGGAGGAGGCTGGTGAACAAGGTGGCTGCAGAAGCAAAGTTACAGATCAGGAACGGAGACCTGAGAGGTGCCAAGAAGGGGATGTGCTCCAGGGAGAAGGCAGAGATGACAGCCTTACCGATCATGGTAGCACTGACATTGTTGTCTTCAGAGTATTTGAGCAGCTCTCGGAGGAACGAAATCAGGTACCGAAACACACTGCGATGGCAGCGAGGCAGCTGAGAAATCACCTGCAAACAAAACAGACACGGCGCACGTCGCTCCAGCCAGGCCGAGCTGTGCAGGTCTGGACTGCAGGCAGGCAGCATTCCCCTTCTGCTGCACAACCAGTGAGCCACCAGCTGCAACCCATGGCTGATGGCACCGCTTCAGCTCCTGCCTAACTCTCCCTCTAAGAGAACCACACCACCAGGTAAAACCTGACACTGCCCTGAGGCTCCTTCCCTCTCATCTTCTGCTGGGATCCAGTTGCGTGCAGCAGCACGAGGACCAGGATGAGAGGCTTCCTGAGGCCAGCTCTGAAACATGCCTGATTTCTTCCTCTGCCTGAGGACATGCCTAGCTTTGCTCGTGGCCCCAACAGCTGCTTCTAGGAGTTGCTCAGTCACAGTCCTTAGAGGAAGCACAGGAACGGTGGTGCTCTGCAGATGCTTAAGCCCTTGAGACCAGGGGAGGTTGTTTCAATCCCTGGGGCTACTCCTCATGCGATCAGGGTGACACTGTGCACACTGGGGGTCTCTTTGGAAGCCCCCAGCTCCCCTGGGATGGCAGCGACAGCCTTCTGACAGGAGAGCACAGCCAGAGCACCCAGCTCACTGCACTCACGCCATGAACTCCCCAGAGCACACCTCCCAAAGCTCCACGCCAGCCCATAGGAACACAGTGAGCCCCAGCACCGAGCCAGAGCTCAGAGCAGCAGGGAAATCTCCTCACCTGTCGGCAGAGCCGGCTGTCATGAGAACAGTCGAGGCACCTCTGATACAGCTCATAGCAGATCACCGGCTCCGGCAGAGCCTCCAGGAAGATGAGGAGTGCTTCAGCCACAGAGTGGTTGCTGCCCGCTGGGCAGAGGCAGTCAAGGGGCACACAGAGCAGACGGATCACCCCCCTGCCTCTCTGCTTTCCTGTCTGCTCAGCTGCTGCTTCCTCCCTGCAGGCTGCACCGGAGCCCTGCCTAACTGATTGCTCCCCAACACCACAGCCTTCCCTCTCTGCTCTCCCCCAACCACACAAAATGCTGTTACATGCACCTTGCACTGCGTTTGCCCACCCCTGAGACCCTCTGTTCCAGCAGCCCCTTCCCCAGGGGTTCCCCAGAACCCAACTGCCAGTTCCTGCTCTGGGCACAGCCTCACAGCAGCTTCCCTGCAGCTGTACTAGCCAGAGGGCACCTCTGGGTGCAGAGCAGAGCCAGACCTCCCAATGGGATCCTACCACAAAAGCTCTCCCAAGGGAGATTTCACAGCAGAACTGAGATCCAGCAGGCTCCTGGGAATGCCATGTGCAGCAAGGATACGGATTGTCTCAGGGATACTGGTGTCCAGGCAGTCAATGATCTGCTGCAGCTCCTCTTGCATGCCTGGAGTCTGAAACAGATCCTCCTGCCAAAGACAGTGGTGTCAGCACAGAGATGAGAAAAAGTCACCTTCCTCATGGAAGCTGAGGCACACAGGGTGAGAACTGG